TGCTCCTAGCTTATAACTACTTCTAAAAATACTTATTTACATAACACATATTCAAAGACCATATGCTATTTCTGACATAGAGCTCACAATGTGCAGCCAAATACAGCCAAGACAGCGCACATAGTTGTCTTTCAAAGATTTGATCTAAATGCTATCGACTTCAAGGAATTTAGATACAGCCTCAGTCCCTTGTTCACACATGTACTGACTTACCCCTTTCCTATTGTGCTGTAATCACTCACCAAAATCTTGCATTTGTTTTCACATTTTTCTAAGAAGTCTGAATCAATAATTCCTGATAGTTCCACCATGACCAGCTGCTCCTGCAAGATAAGTTTATAATGTGCATCTATAATTGACATATTTGAACAAGAGAAAAAACAAAACATCCCCAAACAAAAAAACCTAGCACACAAAGACCCAGATCTTCAGAATAAACAGACCCCAAATCTGACTTATTCTGCATTTTGTCTAGAGAAAATGACAAACAGATATTGCAATGCCCAGGGGAATGCAGCGACCCACTACTCCATCATACACCTGCTTCACACCCAAAATTTCTGGCCTTTTCTCCATAGCTAGACAAGGAGCTCATTTTTCAAGGGTGAAATCAATATGGGTAAGTTATTTATGAATGATAACAATACTAGTTATATAATCCAAAATACATTTTCTAAAACTTGAGTACCTACCTAAATAAGACACTACAGTGAGAGGTTAAGTTAAGCAACATGCTGCTTGAAATGGTTACCCTTAACTCTTTATAATGCATTGCCTTAAAATCAATTCCTGTTCACAATTCCTTGCAGTTTCGGGCAAGGAAAACGCCAAAACAGAAACTAGCCACCTTTAAGTCTTTTATTCAAGGACACACACACACACACAAAAAAAAAGCTTTCAAGAATCATGATCTACTAACTATCCATGAATGCACACAATATTAGATGAGCAACAGTTTGTATTTTCGGACGCTACAGAGGTAGGAAGCAACTGAAACTGGACGAACGCTTTCCGACAACGCCGCTTTCAGAAAGCCTGGAGGCGCAGAGCTGTAAGGATACGGCCGGCACTCGGGACACGAGGAACCCGCCCGGCCCAGGCGAACGCCCTCGCTCAGGGCCCGACCTCACCGCCAGACCGCGGGCAGCCATGGC